GTCCCAAGCCCAACTTTGGGAACCAAAGTGCAGTGGCTCCCAAACTTCCCAGCCTTCGACCCACAAAATAACAATAGCACAGACCTGAGCCCCCAACTATTTTTGGATGATAAACATTTGTATCAGGTCAACAAAACATGGGCATAGTAACAATATTTTTATACTACATTTATCCATTTTAAATACACTAACCTCACTCATTTGTAACAACTACGGCAAAAATGTAATTAATTCAGAAAATCTTTTCAGGACCCAACCTTGACGTTTCGGGACCCCACTTTGGGTCCCGACCCCAACTTTGGGAAACACTGGTTTAGACCCTGTGTGGATCAGAGAAAATCCACAATTTGTGTACCTAAATTTTCTTTTTAAACATCAGTAAAGTTGTGTATTTTTCCACTCAGTTCAAATCAGTAAGTGGATGTAAACGTCTGATTGCAACTGTACAAACAAAATCAACTGTAATTTTGACAGAAAAACAAATTAGACTTATGTTGAGACATAAATGCGTATGAATAAAGACAAAAGATCAAAACCAAATCTTACAGTCGGAGAACTTGTCCATGCACCTTTCCAGGTAGGTGCGGGCAGACTGGGAGCGTGCACCAATGGACATGGCTTTACAGTCAAAGTAGTTTGCTGATGGGCAGGTCTGGAAGATGTGTGGTCCCATGTCCTGTGTGATGCACAACAAATACTCAGCAATGGTGGTACTTTCCTTTTATGGTAATATTAATGTGTAAACCAAACAGGATATTAAATAAACAGCATGTTTGAAGAGACTTACATCATAACCAGCAATAAGAAGTCCAACACCATAGGGCCTTCTTCCATATCTCTGTGTGGGGATTTGGGTTTCTGGAGTTTTAGTTAAGGCTCACCACTGCTACTTGCAATTTTAAATTATTAAAGGAAGCCGAACAAGAAAGAACTTGTTCTGTTTCTTGTAATCTCAGAAGAAAAAGTGTAACGCGTTTTAAATTTAGAGCAAAACACAACTTTTCTTACATTTAAATATAACCGTGAACACAGTCAATTTTACATCCTGAAAATGTCTGCGTTGTGAGCAGTCATTTTATGAGAACTTCAAAAGTAGGAAAGGATACTGCTGCCAATGAGGGAGACGAGACGTGAGATTGGAAGTGGCCGGTCAAAAACAAATCTCGAGTCCAAGCACTCCTGACGCATAAAGTTACTGCAGAGGAGAAAAAAACAAACAAACAAGTTTGAAAAATTAACAATTTCTTTATTGAAGAGATATATCTATGTGCTTCCTCTACGACCTGTCCACATGTCTTAATAATCTTATTTAGCTTTTACCTAGCTATAAATTGCCACTTCACGCATTTAAGACTTGTCCATTTTTTTAAAGTGACACACGCCCATCAAAACTGCACTCATATGATTTAATTTTAAAAAATGACGGAGTTCAATATAAAGCTTTGTTGAGCACCTAATCCTGGACAGCTAAAGCAGTTTGTAACCTACCACAGCAGCCGGGCATCAGCAGTTAGTCCAGCAATAGAGATGCCGATATGGTTGTCAACATGTAAGATCTTCTTCTGGTGGGCAGCCAGTTCAGACTGGGCTCTCTGCAGAGCAACAAGCCAATACATATTAACAATGTGATCATAATTAGGGCTGTGTATTGGCAAGAATTTGGCGATACGATACATATCATGACAGACGGGTCACGATACGATACATCCCGATATATTGCGATACTGTAAGCAAGGTGATATATTGCGATTTCTTGGTCCAAAAATTCTATTAAATAAAAACCTCTTAATGGAAAAAAAAAAGAAAAACCAAAATTTATTGTCTCAGAAAATTCTATTACATAGATATGCGCTAGCCTTCTGTAACGTAAAGCCTGACTAGTTGGAAAAAAGAGTGCACGAGACACTTAATTTGGTTTAAAATACAGACATTCTGATAAATAAGTAACTGTTTGTAACCTTACCTCAGCTTAGAAGGCAGAGGGTTTCGGTCTTTTCTGCTCAGATTCAGCTATCGGAGCATGAAGCTAATCTTTACTCACAATGCTAATGCTACCCTTACTGTCTGTCTCAAGAAGTAGAGGAGCCAAATGGCTGGCTCACTGCTGCCAACTAGGGGTCAGAGGCTGAACTACAACATAAAAATGAATGGCTGGCAGGAAAGTTGACATTTTAAACCTTRATAAAAAATCAATACAGGGCTTTAGAATATCGATACAGTATCGGGAAATGAAATATCGCGATATTTCAGTGTATCGATATTTTCTTACACCCCTAATCATAATAACACATGTTGTCGTAAAGGCTTTGTTGCGTTTTAGTTTGATCAAATAAAATGAGAGGCTGTTTCTGTCATGAAAAAAATAGTTGAAAGTAAAACACACGTGGACACAGAGGACTTTAGCATTAATATTAATGAGAGGTAATTTGACACCATCAAACATATAGTCTTACACAATGCCCCTGGAGAGTTTCAGGCATTAAACATTAGATAAAACAGTGAAATTTAAAGTTTTTATCAACCTGATGTGAACTACACTTCTTATAGAAACTGACAGCAAACAGCAAAACATGATACCACACCTTTAATGCAACCAGGACTGCATGTGTTCTGGATTTGAGTCCCACAGTTGCAGATCCTTGCTTCACTGCCTCCATGGCGTATTCGATCTGATGGATCCGACCCTGTGTTCACAGACAAACAAAGCTGTCAACACAGAACATGTTGGCAACACACAGTGACTCCTGCAGAGGAGAACTTACCTGCGGGCTCCATACTGTCACATCGTTGTCATACTGATTGCGAAACTATGAACAAAAGAAAACATAATTAGATAATTATTATTTTAAAAGCCTTGCCATTACTCTGGGCCTGAACTTACATCATCCTGCATGATTGCTATTTTATCAGCTATTTCTAAACCACTCGCTGTTAGTACTAAAGAGTCTGTCTACCGCCAGGTCTTTACTAGCCAAAGGTTTAAAGTTACTATAATGAATAAATAATGGCTAAAGCTCCATGTGTGCAACCTTCTTAGCTCAATTCAACATCCAGCTCAAGCATCGGAGTAGACCGGCAAAAGAAAAGTAGCTGTCCTGTTCGGTATATGTTTGCTAACTAAGTACTATAATATCCGCGGTATAACTCGTGCAAATATATTTAAAGATGGATCGACAAAATATGTAGTTAGACTTTCAAGAAATGGGCGAGCTAAGAGAAAACGAAAGTACAGTCACTTCCACCGCTGAGTGATGCTAACTCATTAGCTAACTGCAGTAGCTAACAACGCGTTAGCCTATGACCAAATATTTACCCGTCTGGATGAGAAACTTTAATTTTAATAACATTTGGGCGTGGAAACAAACATTATTTAATACAACGAAGTAAATAGAAACTGCTAATACTTTCGTACAAGTCAGCAGCCACAGTAAAGGTACTGCTAACAGTTCCCAAAGCTGATTTGCTTACTCACAGCGGCAGTGCAAACCTAACTTAGCTAGCTAACGTTAGCTGACTTTGAATAAATCATTTCTCTATTTGATATCTCTTTAAAATAAAAACAATGCGCTTTATTTTTTTTGTGAATGCACTATATAACGCTAACTTGACCTAGTTATTATAAATTTCATTCATACTTACCATGTCTGCTTAGGAAAGTGTGGATAATAGCCTATAGTCCGCAGGCTGGCTGCGCTGTGATTTTCGACTTGTTTTCCTGGACGTGACGTCATGACAGGGGAGACCAACAGATCCAAGAGTTCAATTCAGCGATCAACTGAGTGCCTTCAGACAGAGAAAGAACTGTGTGAATAACAGCAGGTAAATAAAAAAGTCAAAATAAGCAAAAATGCCTTTTTTTTTTAGATATTTTGTAACTTTTGTTTTCTTTCATTTATTCTCGTCATGTTTTCTCTCTTAAACAGTGTTTTAGTCACATTCTAGGTTTATTTTTTACTTGTTGAACATATTATTATTAATAATAAGGCAGAAGATTGATAATAAAGTGTGCATATGTGCAGATCCAGTTCGAGCAGTCTACTGTTTAGATKACTGCTACACTATTAAATGTATTGTGACCAGCAAAGTATGTTTTGTTTTCAAAATGAGTTTACAGCTGTTCCATATTTTACTGTTTAACTGTTTTTATTACATGAAAGCAACATGTCACATTGTATGAGTTATTTACATTGCATTGTTAAACTTTGATATATTTATAGAATAAATTGATTTAAACAATATGTGCAATTATGTTCARTTTATCTTATAGATACTTTTAACCCTCCTGTTGTCTTCGGGTCAAAATGACCCGCCACTGTGTTGAAACCCCCCAAAAAATCCCCTAAATGTTATTTTTTTAACTTGAGATTTTAAGACTTTGCCTAGATTGGCCAAA